AAATCATCGCGAGTGGAATTAAGCTTGAGAGAGATGCTGGTCGTTGGGAAATTCTATTTGCCAACCGGCAAAGAAACCACGTTACTGCGAAAACCAGCTCGCCTTTCGAATTTCCATTTTTATAAAATAAAATGAAATATTAAGTACGATAAAGTAGCTGATTTTTATATCTAAATTTATCTTCTCGAGGAAGCAATTGAAAAACTTTGTCAGAAACTTCATCGTTGGCGAGGAAGTTGAATTTCAACGAAAGAAATGGAAACAGGCTCGGTAAAACTGTAATCAACAGTCGGGAACGGAATACAGTAGAAATTATCTAGAGAAACTCGCCCTCTCGAAACGATCCAACTTTCCTCGAACACTTTCGGAACACTTTCTTCTGGAACGCGACAGAAATGAGGACCCTCGAGGAGCCCCCCTTTTTCCGTCCATCATTCCGGGCACGAACCGCTCGCCACGGAAATTAGTTTCCACCTCTAATTACAGGAATAGTAACGAGCTCGGCGGATCGATGAAACTGGGCCGCGGGGATAGAGTTTCTCGTTTCCAGGCCGAAGAAGAAGTCGAATAATAAGAGGGCGGCATTCAAATACGTGGCGGGTCGAGTCTCTCGGTTAGGTCTCCGGAACGAATTCGAAAAGAGAGCGGATGGGGAAAACGGGACTCCCGGGCTGAAATTGTAGCCCATAAGACGAGAAGCGTCCCAGGGTCGATAACCAATTAGCGATCCCCGAGACAAGGGTCGGAATCGCGCGTAAACAGCGACAGACAGTAGCTAGGGCAACGAGTTTCGAGGCCACCGTGATGGTGATCTTAAATTTCGCACCCCTGTTTGCCCGGTTTAATCTACCTCGTTCGCGTCGTCGGATTAACGAGTGCATCTTCCGGCTCCCGATCGACGAATAAAGCTAAGGGGTTCAAATGGAATAGCGTCAATTTAAACGTAAAGTTGAAATTAGTAAACGTTCCATGAATTATTTAGTCTAGACACGAGACTTGAATGGAAGATCCTGTCTTAAAAGATCGGCCAAAATTTCGCCTCTTCAGACCGAAGCTGGTAAGTCGTTATAAAAAGAAGTTGTCGTGAAAGAAACGCATCTTAATGGGAGGGGTGGTGACTGGGTTCACGAGTGGTCCTCGATCAAGTTTCGAATCTAATAAAGACGAAACATCCTTCGAAGAGGTTCGCGAAAGGTGCCATCGATCAGTTCCTGAAGCTTTCAAAGAAAATCGCAGCGGCGGAACAGAGAGACGGCTCGTTAAAAAAAAAAACTTCCCGACGTCTCGAGGATGGATAAGAGGAACGCGTATTCCACGGAATATTTCCGAGGGATTCGATGGAGGAGGAGGGTTGACGCACGCCACACGTCACGCACACGCGCCTCCAGAAGCTTCGGCTCGGTCTTGCATGGCCGATGGATCGAGCAAGGGATGCATACCAAGCAGCCTTTTTGCCCGTTGGTAAATTTGTCAATGGACCCTGGGGTGCCGGTGAATCCTACACCTACCCACCTCTATCCTTAGCGTTCTCGCGCCCCGTCGATCATTCTCCACTTCGCTGGATACGCTTGGTTGCTCGAAAATGACGACGAACCAAGTGGAAGCGTGAAGAAATCAGGGGATTCGAAGATCTTGCGATGAATAGACGCGTCTCGTCGTTCAAATCCATGGAACCTGAAACGTTCACGACCCATGTAGTTAAACTACATATATTACATTAAAAAATCTAGCCAATAAAATTTCGTGTTTGCGAAATTCCGAATTGAATTACATTAGAAGAAGACGTAGAGGAAAAATATGGTGCAAGGGCAGCAAAGTTACGTCCACCATCTGGGAGGAAGCAAACCTAATCGAGCAAAGTTCAGAGATATTACCGGGATGAGATGTAGAACACCGTGGTAACCCAAATACATTTAGGACACCCTATCCAACTCTCGGGGTGAATTTAGGGTACCTACCGTTACCGATGGCTGTGGTCCAAGTAGACTCCGAGACCTTGGACCGCCATAAATATTCACGAACCCTTGGAAATCGAGCGAAATCGTTTACCACCTGCGACCGATAACCTAAGACCGGCCTCTGTCGTGCGGCACCGCATTCGTGACACATTTACCGCTGACCGTGGCTGCGGTATTGGTAACGAGGGTAGTCAACAGGATCCAATAACGTCCTCGCACACGTCACCCCCGAGAACGAACCCCGGTTGCTTGCGGTACCATTAAAAAAAGAACCCTCGGTCGAATCGTTGGAACAACGACGCGACGATAGAACGGAACCGCGATAAATCGTGAAAAAGTGCTGAACTTTCTAGGAGCCTGGCGAACCTAGATGTTGGCGCAATTTAAAAGCATCATCCATCGAGATACGTCTATCTCTCGCCGACTAAAAATCACAGTTCCTAACAAACTTTCCGGTCCGTTAACGACGCGTGGAAAAACAGCGGGTAGTGAAATAGCGCGCAGCGTTGGAAGACGAGACGGCGAGGTCCAGGAAATGGATGGATGGTCGTTCGCAATTTGGCCCTCCAATAACCGCGACACAAAGTAGCCAATTTATAATCCCCTGCCCTTCACCGACACTGGATACTTTTATCTACGTACCTCTTCTCCTCTTTCTTCCTCCACGTGTTTCCTCTCGGCGTGCACCGATAACCGCCACGACTCGCGAGCAATGGGGCGAAAAATTAAATTTGTCCATTAACTTCTAATCGAGACGCTCGAACGTTTCTCCTGGAATCGATCTCTTTCCTGTGATTTACTTAACGACCGTCTCCGCTTTTGAAATTCCTGACGGCTTCTAAAGATATTTGCTATTTTGAAATTTCTCGGATGATTTTCTGTTGACAAGACCTCCCCGGTCTTTCTAAGGTTAATATACCCGCCGTCAAGGGGTTAAACTTGCGGCATAAAATACCGAAATATCAAACTGAGAACACAAACGAGAAGCTTCGTAACTCGATTTCACTATAACGAAACTTATCGCTCGCAGCGGGCTAAAGCGCGTTTACGATGCACAGTTTACGAGAACAGGGTTTTACGAGCGGACATACACGCACCCCCTGTCGCGTGTTCAAAATTTAACTCGTGCCACGTGGCTTTTTCGACGTACTAAATAGTCGTTCACCTATTTCCTCGATAACGGTGATCCGAAAAGTCCTGAAGAAGGGAAACTGGTAACCTCTTTCCCATGAGGAACGGTCTGAAATTAATTGCTCCGCCAGTGAAAGCCGAGGGGTCTCTTCTCGTCGAACAAAGAAAGACCGTTCGATCGGTTAGAAGCCTAAGAAACGTTCTGCATCACCGATCGATCCAACGACCACCATTCAAGGGAAAACGTTTCACGAGCCTAATGCTAGTCCACCCTTAATGGACGATGGATCAAAAAATTTATCGCCCGCGAAGGCCGGCCGGCAATTAGTGGACCGATCGTTTCGGTGAAATACAAGCGTGTCTTTCTTTGGGGTAGTCGTCGAAGGATACTCTACTTGGCTTTTAGGCGAGGGATGAATGAAAGCAGTGTGGTGGTACTTGGATTACAAAAGGTCAGCATCTGAAATATTATACAATTGAATAATTAGCAAATGAAATGAAAGATAATTTGTAAAAAAAAAATCGTAGGTACATCACAAAAAGGTAAGGGAAAATTACTCGATAGATGGTTAGTTCGTTCAGCTAACGTGCCAATCGCGAACGAATTCAATTTTTTCCTCGACGTGTTTTTAAGAGTTTGTCAACTCCTCTGGGAGAAGCCGACGCGAGCAGGATCCAAACTTTCCGTCCCTCTACGGTAGATCTTTGATGCCCCATCAAGGGCTGGAACGAGCTACGAAATTCCCAGGAGTGGCGAGGGGAGGAAAAGGTTCCACGTCAGTGATCGTCCGATGGATCTCCGATTACGACATGCGACGTGCCGTATAATTGAGCAGGTGTTGCGAATCGACCGAGGCAATGCATCCACTTCTGCATCATTCGCAGTATCCAAATATTGTATCAAATATCAGAAAATCAATTTCGTTTAAAAATTTGAAAAAAAAAGTTTTTAATATCCATAACTATCTGTAGCCGATATACATACCCCTATCGTTTGAAGGGTGCTTTAAGAATTAAAGGCGTCGCTTTAAGATAATAACATCGAATGCATATAATCTCTCTTAATCAAATTCCCCCTATCTCCATGTCGGTGCTCCTCTTGCTGTACGTCTCGCTCTTTCAATCTGCCGTTGAAACCCTTTGCACCCCCCCCCCCCCCCCCCCCCCCCCCCCCCCAATAGTCTCCGCGACGTCATTCCGGACGGTTTAATTATTATCAACCCCGTGGCTGGCAGGACGAGTGACGGATGGATTTTCGTTTATATGACGGGCGACGTGGCGTGTAATTAACTGGCAGCCAATTATAGACACCGGGCTTCCACGGTTTTTAACTTGTTCTCGTGACAGGCGTCGTTTCTCGACGTGCCCTTCTAACCACCACCCCTTTCTCTGATCCATCGTGCAAGGGTTACAGGATCGATTTTGCCTCGATCGAATTTACTCGGTCGAGTGCGTCGATAAACATTTGGTAGAAAGCTGGAAAGAAAAGGTAAATATTGGGACAAATTTAAACCGTACAGAGGGTGGAAATGTTGAGAATTTCAAAAGTAAACAGAAAAATAAATGAAATACACGACAAATTTTCAATGACTTTTTTTTAATTTTTTTTCGTTTTCTTTTTTTAATTTCACTTCATTTCACCATTATCTTTAGGATAGTGGCATTAAAAAATGTTTATTAATATAATATGTATACTTTCCTTAAAATCATCCATACTCGTATTCTCATAGCGTAATAATCATAATAATATATATAATCATTATAATAATATATATATATCTATATTTATTTATATATATATATTATGTATATGTATTTCGCATATAGAGAATAGTCAATTACATAGTAGGTTTGCGTAGGTTTTTTTTCTGTTGTATTCCTTATTACCATTATCGTTATTATTATTATTCATTTTTTTTTTTTTTTGTTCATTTACTCTTTAATTGTAAAGGTATTCCATTACTAAACATATAAAAGCGGTATAAAGCTCGATCCTCACACGCTAATTGTATTTCTTTTCTTTTTTTTTTCTTTCGTTTGTCCGTTCTTCACCCCTCAATATAATTAATATAAATCGTCGCGTCTCACCACCGGTATGTATTCTTCATTTCTTTCAATAAATTGCTGTTTCACGAAAAATTTTCTTATTTTTTTTGCTTTTTTTACTCCCATCCGTACGATCCTCATTCGTATTTCCATTTTCTTACACAATTGTTCAACACACACGCTTATTTTTCATTTTTTTTTTTCTTTATTCTTTTTTTTTTTAAACCTAGGCGCGCGTAATGCGATTTTTCAATGCTTACGAGTGTAGTATTTCTAAAGTATACTTCGTCCCTTTCGTCAGTCCCACGAATCAACACGACCAGACATAACGTTCGAAAGAAACCGACATTGGGAAGAGGTTGAGAGATAAAAGAAAGTCGGGGGAAGAAAAGAGAAAAAAAGGAGAGTGTGTTTGAAAATGGTCGAGGAAATTGTCGGAGGAACTCGAAAGGGACGACGTAAGCCCGATAAAACTGCCAGGACCATATTGACCGTGTCCTCCGCTCTGTCCAAGAGCATCGATTAATTAACGCGAACTCGTATTTAGCGCGACGATGACGACGGGGTTCGAGGAGAGCCCATTATTCCCTTCGTGCTTCGTGACCTTGACCCTCTGGCTATCCCTGAAAATTCGGGTCAACGGCCAAGCCCAACCGTCGGCAACGTCCTCGAGTAAAATATTAAAAGACTAAAGGCGAGTCGTTTCTTCGAGATCCACACAAATTTCTCTCCTTTTCACCCTTCTCTCGCGTTCACCCACCCTCGTAGGCCTTGTTTTTTCTCTTTTTATTTTCTACACGCTCCCGAATACATTCGCTTTCCTCAACTTTCACCTCGTTTAATTCTCTTTCTATCAACAGGGTTTGTTTGCTCTCTCGAAGAAACGACCCTAACCACGTGTTAAGCACTAGCTCTCGATCGACACAGCTTATCGATAATATATCTTTTTCAACCGTAAATCATCCTTCGTTACTTTCCGCTTCATCGTGCGTCTATCTTCCCCCTCAAAGTCGCTGGCGGGCACAACCGGTTCTTTCTCTCGTTCAACCCCCGATTTTCAACCCCGTTCCTTCTCATCTTTTCCCTTGTCCTCGCGCGATCCGCGATTCAAAATTAATTTCGCGGACGAATCAGCCCTCTTCCATCGCTCTTTTCGAGGGAATCGTATCCTCGATCACCGTAATTTCCATTATTCTCGAGGATTTTTTGATCACCAGCGAACTTCCTCGCGGATTACCTCAACGCCCAGCGTCGAGGATCCGACGAGAGTCGTTCCTCTCGATCGACAAATTGATTCTTCGCGTCGAAAATACGCTCCCTCTTTCTTTGTACGTTTTCCAGCAACGATTCAATACTCTCCATCCACCCTCACGACGATCTTGCACGATTTAAGATAATTTTTCGGAAAGGATACAAACGTTAAGAGATTCGTATCTTTGGAATCGCTCTTCAAAAAGAATCTCAGCAATCTCTAAATCGAAAGTAAGAGTCCGAATTTTCTTCTCGCGAGGTTATCGAGTCACGTATACATAGAAATCTTCAACATCGTTTAACCAAAATTCATTTGAAAACAACGATTCCTTCAAACTAGAAGAACAAACGTATCCAGGATCGTCGTGAGATCGGGAGTCATTATCGCTATTCTCGAATGAAAAGCGAGAAATTTCGAAGACTGTTCTTTATTCTTTCTTTTTTTTTTTGTTATTCCTCTCAAAATAAACCGGTTGCCGAGCGCCCACCAGCTAAAGGTACAGCGTAGTATCTAATAACACCCGAGTTAGACTCTCGCCCTCAAGCCAACCAAACAAATATAGTCGCATACAATTATTACAATACGAATTCTTAAATATCAACTCTTATATTCTAACGATAGAATGATAATTAATAGGGTTTGTTGTGTTCACGGCTGTAGAAAACGGCCGGCTACGTGTACGTTTCATTGTGTTTCACGCGATAATAGTTTCTTTCTTTCTAACCGTATATGTATATCTTGTGTTCTCGTCTTACACGTAAGCCCTTGTGTTAACAAATGAAAAAGTTTCCGGTGGTTTTATAACCTGGATACCTAGGTAGTCCAAGTATTCTGTCAAACGATACATAAATAGAAATATTCCAACGGAAACATGAAAAGTATCTTAATATTTAATTGGTAGCCCAGGTACCCAGCGTTATTAACGCGTCGACTGCTATGGAAGTCCACCCCATTTCCCTTAATAATTAAAGAAAATTTCCACTAATTAAACTAGGTAGCAAATGGAGAGCTTAAATTGATAAAATAAAACAATTACAGCGTCCATTGTCAGTATGGCAGTCAACGCAGTTAACACAAGGGTTGAATTTTCTATTCATTCACGGTGAACGCGAATGAGATGTGCTTTTCAATGATTACTGTCCAGATCAGTGACACTCTATTCAACTATTTGCTTATGGTTGAATCTGTGTTTCGGATATACGAATCCAGTACCAGTGTCTCTCTCACTGTGTCCAGTAAATGTTGTTAGAAATTTGATTAGACATCATAGAAATAGGCTAAGTAGGATTCGTTGGAAATCCCCACGCGATCGTGGAAATTCATTTTCTAGCTTATATCGTTAACTAGAAACGATTGAATAGGATTATATTCAACGTGACACCTGAATATTCTCGAGGACCAATTCCAGTGGCAGATTTATCGAAGATCTCGAGCCCCGGAACAAGGCTCACTGGCGTATTCTGTGTACCGATTTTCCGGATAAACTCCTGAAAAATACCTGAATTCCCTAATCGAAAGCTCAGTCGAGTTTTAGACAGAATATACATTATCGAACTGGGTGTTGCGAGGATCGATCGGTGATCGAGAACGTTGCACATCGAATAATCAATTTCTAAATTCTTTTCAAATACTACAAATTTTTATAATCCCCCAAAAATGTTGCTCGACAGACGACTATTAATAAATACATTGCTACCGCTACTTCTATCGTTTCTACCACTACCAACTACAGCTACAGCTAAACAAATTCTTCTCTCTTTTTTTGTAGACCACTTTTGAATAGATTTTTATCAAAAATATATTTCGTATGCAAACGTGCACACGTAGTCTTTCATATGCGACGTCGATCGTCTGTTCGACGCTCAAAGTAATCAATTACGGATATTCGAACTATCAAGGAATTCTTGAACGTTCGGATATGGAGTCGTCGAGTCGACGATGTTCGCCGCTGTTCTTCATATTTCTTGCGCGTCGTCGGTCGAGCACGAACACCCCCCAAAAGAAAGATCCTTTAAAAATTGCTTTCAACGCTTCTCGATTCACCCGACTCACTTCGCTGTTTTTGCTTTTATTATAAATTACCATAGATCGTCTACGAAAGATCAGTCTGAGTTAGTCGCCTGTAAAATGCGTCGAGGTTTTAAAAATGTCTCAGAAAAATCGAAGGCTGGAACGGTTTATGTTTCTCGAGTCTTATTCGTCGGCAGTTTTGCTCGCGGGCCCGGAAACCGTCTTTCGAGCGACTCCCGTTCGAAGAGCGAACGATGGATCCACACTGCCAGATCAGGAGCTTCGTTTTTCTATCGTTCATTCATTCCCAGCCAAAAAAACCGCGATTTCGTCGGCTGAGTCAGCAAGAGTACACGTTTTCTCGTCGATCTACTTGCTGCACCGACGAAAGTTACTTTTATTTTCGAAGAATTTTACTTTTCGAAGCCCGATCGAACAAGCGGCTTGGATCTTCGCTTCGTCGAAGAAAAGTCTCTGGAAAAACCGATCCAAAAATCCGCGAGATTGCTCTGTTTAGATGATTTGTTGTTGGCTGGCACAGATACGACCGAGCAAGTCGCGCGGGATATAATGATGGTGATAATGAGATTGCTTCAGAAATCGTCGATCAGTGATAAATAGTGTGTGGATACATTGTATGTGTTACGTGTACACGTGTTCGTTAATTCGTGTAATTAGCCCTATTTACATATTTTCCCATAGAATAAGGAGGTAAATTGGAGACACCTATAGAAAGGGATAATAAAAATCAGCTTTTCGTTCGTTTGTTACCCTACAGAGCGGGACTGCATGCAAAACACACCGAAGTTCTACCTACGAATAATTAGTTCGTCGTCGAAGCTTTTCCTCTACACACACCCACGCACGCGCGCATACACACAATTAGTCAAAAGATTTTCCTTCGCGTGGCTTTCGTTTACACGATTCTATGTTCTGCTATAGTAGATGATTATAGTACCAATTTCACTTAAGACATCAGCTCAGCAACATTTAGGAAGAGTACACCCCCTTAACCCTTAAAGTACACCAGTGGAATAAGAACGTTCAGATGTGTACAATATTTATGTCAGAAATGTGCCATAATTGGAAATTGTATTTTCTTGTGATGTAAAAATCAGAAGTTATCTTTGATCGTACGGACCACGTTGCCCTCTGTACTCTAAGTGCTAAAGAAATTAGGCGTAACTCTCTCTTCTTTATTTCCATGGGACGAAAAAGCAATCCGAGTTAATTCGATGGAAACTAGTCGCGATCATCCCGGAAATTTTCACACCAGAGATGTGTTTTTCCATGGGAAATGCAACCGACAGTTCCCTCGAACGCGTTACCTGAGAGAATTCGGGATAATTCGAGATAGAAATGAAGCCGCGCCTTAAGTGCTAATGGCAGTCTAATTGTAAAAACGTTAAACGTACAAATCATGCTTGTTAAATGTATATACGATCATAGTGTATAGATTTATCATAATTATACGTATCGTGTAACACACACCTTGAATGAGCCCTAAACTCTAGATAAAAGTATGCAGTACGTACCATATTACAATAGATCATTTGTTAATTTTCGTATTATCGTTATTATATCGCAATTAGAAAATTCCTACTATACCATTAACCAGGGAAAAACATTGTTTTTTCTAAAATTGTTAACATTACACCTTTCTCTCCCCTCTTTCTCTCCGATTCTTTCACACTATTTATTCACACGGAAACACACTCTCTCTTTCTCACCCCCTTTTTTTACACGCACTTCTCTCATCTGTTTCCGTCTTCCTGTTGCTGCTTCCTCGTGGCAATAACTTCGTTCGTCGCTCGAATATAATTATCTTCGTTAGAAAAATTTGTACTCTTATAGGGGAGGTATCGAGCAGACCTCGACCTCTGCTTCCCGTTCCCGAATCCTGAAACCATTTTACCAACACTTCTACGAAGGATAAAGCAATTTCATCCGCGTCTAAAAGCGCCGACAAAAATGGCAGCCTCGGATTCGTTTAACGAAAAGCAGTACGATCGAATCGACTGAAACGCGCTGCACCGTTGCTGCGATCGACCACGAGACTTCCGTTTTAAACAGCCTCTCGATTAAAATTCACAATCGATTCTGGTCCTTCCTTTTTATTCATTGTCGTTCGCCGAACAGTAGACGGCCCTTTTTTTCACGGCGATCTCCGGATAAAAAGGGAAACAGCTACCATCAGCTGTTTTTTTTTTATCCTCCGTTTGCAGAGCACTCGAGACGTCTGCCAATTAAATTAAATAGTGTCGACGAAGAATCTTTCTCGAGGCAACGATTCGAAGTAAAGGACGCTTGTCTGTCTGCTGTTTGTTCTCTCTGTTCGTTTGTGATGCAACGAATCGTTTTACAAGCATGGTATTCCATTAACAAGCGAATACCATGAATTCTTGCTCAATGGTTTAAATAAAACTTTGTAGGTTTATAGAGTGATCCTTGATAACGGTTCCCGTGGTCGAGCGAATAATCGCTGCTGCGTTTCTTCACTTTCTCCAACTCTCTTGCTTTGTTTTTCCTCTGGTACCGACGAAAGAAATAGTGTAGAACGCGATGGAACGGAAAGAAAAGCTAGTAGGAGCCAACGAGAATCCATTTCATTTTTTTTTTTCTGCTTCTCTCGTTTCTTCCTCTCCTGGCTTGGCTGAAATTCACCGATGGGTAGAGAACCATTCGTCCCTCGCAATCACTCGCTCATTCGAGATCACTAATCACCGAGGCGCGTTCACCATGATCATCTCTAATCGATCAAACAAATTACGTTTTCTTAATTCGTCCTGCCACGTGAACGCGCCAAGGTTTCGACTATCGGTAAGCTACACGAAAAGAATTGGGGATTATTAGCTTCGATCGCGTAATTTTAATCGCTACGATGAAAAAGGGTAATCCTACGAATATGTATACGAGGTCTCGCCGCTTTGAAACGCCCCTCTCCTCTCGCGGGAGGATCATTTATCGAAGAAGGTTGTTATTGCGATTTCGGGGGTGGGTCTCGTTGAAGCTACGTTCGAAACGGCGAAAGTTCACTACTGATTAATTGTTTTTACAGTTCGTTGATGGTGTTAGACGAATAATGCGGGTATATAGATATAGTTGCACCGGGTTTCGTTACAACAAGACATCGATCGAACCAGACTGTTTTCTTGTCAAAGTCCTTTGGACCTCGCGCAACCTCAATTTCCTCTTTCATCGTTTCTTTTGTGCAAAAGACATGAATTTTAATTTCCATTAAAATTAATTCCAATTCATTAAAATTACTCTTATTCTTCGTGTCTAGTATGGTAGGAATTGTATGAAATACCTATTTCCTTGAAACGCTAATTATGATATAATTACTGAACTTTGAGGATGCGCCAGGCGAAACAGAACTTCCGCACAACGTACGAACGTGTTTTTTTTTTCCTTATGGATTCGCATACATCGATACAGAAATATTCCCGTCAACGAGACAGCGAGCTTACCCTGACAGACAAACGCACCGAGTCCGATACAAGTGTTTCGTGCAATCCTTAAACGTTAATGGTGTATCGCTTTCGAATACCACGTAGCCAATCATGGGATCGTCGAAGCGTCGTTTCCCGAACGATTTTTTCATTTTCTTTATCATTATTTATTCAAAAATCCATCTACTTATCAGAATTCTAATCCCTTAGATAAGAAACGTGTTCACGATTCGATTACTTTAATACCATACAGAAAATAATGCAAATGAATATTTGTGCGTAATGAAAATCGTTCGAGATCTACACGCTCCGTGAAAATGTTCATGTTTTCTTCTTTCTTTTTAATCACTACAAAAAAAAAAAACGAGTCTTTTTAAACATTGATTTCCGATAGAGCGGCAATTTTTACGAATCTCATCCCTTTTTTTTTTTTAAATTCCTCCTTTCGTTCCTCAATTTCCAATATCAAAGACATAGAGGTCTCTTTGTCATCTCCGCGTCACGTCCCTTTTCTTGTTCATTCTTTTCCCTTGAAAACACCCTCTGTCAGTTGTCCCGTTTGGTCCGCACTACCAGCATTGATTATTTTTTGCTTTCGCAATGCACAAGAATTGCTTGTGTTTTACTATGAATCCTTATTACTCGTTTTCATCCCCTTAAAAAAAAAAAGATCAACTGTTTCATCTTCCACCTTTGATTTTCTTATCGTCCATAATTATGCCTGCCGTCCGATCGGTCTCCTCTTCCTTTCGGCCTTCTCCTCGCGCACTTTACAATCGATATCAATTAACGAATTAATTAGTACAAGCTAAACACGCGTTAGAAAAACTACAATACCTAAAGAGAATGGTGCTTTCGTTTTCCATGAAAATTCGTTCGACTTCCTTCTCTTTTTCTCTTCGTTTCATTGATTCGAGGAAAATCTTCGTTTCGAGGAATTTTGCAAATTCGATGTTTCTTTTTCTCCCCCGTTGTCGCACACCCTTTCATTCCTCGTTCGTGGTTCAATTCGAAAGTTCACATATCGAGAGGGCTAACCCGAAGGAGAATCTCGATTAAAGTTTCCTCGAAAGATTTCCAAAGGATCCACTTCCCTTTTCTTTTTCTTTTTCTTTCCTGTGTCACGCGTCTTTTTTTTCCCTCGTAAGAGGAAAACAAGAAATTGCTTTCTTCTTCTTTGACTTTGTTCTCGTTACTTTTCTTCAACTTTCTTTTTCTTTTTCCTCCTCGACAAGTACCAGTACGTTACGCGACGCGGTTTTACGCTTAAACTAAACTTAACGAGCTAGAAATCCTAGAGCGCGTATTAAAAAATGTTCGACCCTTGTTGCCCGATCTCGTTTCGTGATCGCCTCGGCGATCGCTTAAAAAAATAGGGTACAAAAATTATTCATCTAATCATTTGTTTGAAATCTTATCCAATTACACTTAATACGACACGTCTTAATTTCCTTCTTCCTCATTCTTCTTTTTTTTTTTTTGGCTTTTCTTTCGAGAAAATTTGCTCCCATCCCCCCCACCCACCTTAATAAACACACACAGCCGAATAAAAATGCCCCGAATTTTTTAACGTTCTCAGTCGAATACTTACAAATCGATCCTCGATCAATTACGAAATTTGGCGCCCGATTCGAATAAATTTCGCCCCCTTTTTCAAGTATAAAAAAGCTTACAGCCTAAAACACGACGACACGTATATAGCACAAGTTGACGATAATTATTTTCCATCTAAGAAAAAAGAGATTGCTTATCGTTTACCACGAGAAAAACACTTTGGTGTTCTCGTTCGTTCGAAGGAAAATTGAACGCCGAGTTTCCTGCGAAACGAGCTCTCGCCTCGGATCCGCGCGCGTCAGAAAAACGAAAAATCCTAAGAGTTAAAACGAAAACACGTCGCTCCATTGGTGTTGAATTACAGTGAATCAATTTTTCTCTCGTTTTTCACGCCGCCAGTCTTTGTACAATCACGACTGGCGGAGATATATCGCGCCTTTTACGCAAAAGGTGGTTCGTCACGTATACCCCTTGGAAAAATTACTTTTATTACAAACACTGATTCGTGTTTTTCACCGGTGTTGGAAACCGCTCGCGTCCGCCTCGAGACGAGGAAAGTCTTCGCGATTTCCAGATACACAGAGAATTTCTCGAGATACCTCGATATTTCCCATTAATATTTACACTTCCTCACGGATGCTATACATTTTATTGCGATTCTAAAGCTACGACTAAAAGAAGAGACATTGCGAGAGTTGCTCGCAAACGTCCCGGGAAATATCGAGGCGTTTCGCTTTTCGAGATGGTCGAAGCGAACGCGAGCGAGTTTTCCGGGCCTAGTTCTCCTTTTCTCTTTTCTCCTTTCGTCCGAAGAATCATCCGTGTGCATTCTGCCGAGAACGTGGATAATAAACACGGCAGAAGGCGAAAAACTACTAGTTAAAGGAGCGATACACACACGACTATGTATACGTATTAATGTATATATGTATATACGCAGAGAGAATACACCGTGAACGCGATTAAATGTACGAAGGGGAGGGTAGTGATAGGTGATTATAGCACATCCACACGCCATTCAGACACAACGGTATATACCCCATGAGGAAATTGCCTGTGAACGGGTTTCGATACTTCGAGGGGCCAGCCTACCAGCTAACGATTAATTACAAGTATCTCGAGTGTGAAAGCTTAATTACGATCGTTGCACGCGCGTCCATCATCTTCCTTCGTCCAATAAATTTTTCTTTCCCTCTCTTGCACGCGTTTAGAAGTCGTGATAGCACGAGCATCGATGAAAAATTTGTCAGCTTTTCATTAATACAGATCTAATTATAATTAGAATCATTACGAATGCAATTTTCTCCCCTTTCAAAGACCCCAAAAACTTTTTTAACCCCCGAACGATGCTCGAGCAACGCGGAACGCTGGCAAAAGGGAGAAAGGAACGTTTTAAAAAGCGCCCATTCCTGAGAGGATCTCAGACGAAGACAACGACGATGAGGAAAACGAAAACGAAGCGAAAATTGAACCATCGTGCGCGACGAGTAATAAGAGAAGCCATATGTGTGTATAGGTGCATGTTGTTGTGTATGTGTTTGATGTGTAGGTGTTTTCTCACTTGTTCTCTTTCTCTCCTATAGAATTCCTCGTTGCTTTCATTCCCATAACGAGACTCATTCACTCTCTTCCCGGTGCGTCGATCGATTGGATCACGGCTCGTAAAAAACCGGGCCATCCACGAAGAGGAAATAAAACGTACGGGGGTGGTGTTGAAAGGAAATAAATCCCCGACAGGGGCCAAACGACGATTCGAACGAACAAAAGGAAGAAAGTACAGGAGGAGCCGTGAACCAATTGTCTAACGCAGCTACGCGTCGATTAATTTATCGATCCTCCGTCTTCGAGATCGAATTTTCTTATCCGCCTTTTCGATCCTCTGCCTTGCAACCACCTTTCCCTCTTCCTTCGCTATCCCTCGTTCCTCGAACTTCTTCAGTTTTTCACGAATACTTTGGATAATTTTCTCTTCGACCACTCGAGAAATATTTTTTTTTGTTTTATTTTTTTTTAAGAGGTAATGTTCTTCGTATTCGAGAAACGAGAGACAGCAAAGAGGAACGGGGGTGTTATTAGGTTAAATAACAACATTATGTTCCTATGTACATTTGTACCTTAAGCCAACCTATCCCCAATCGATTACGGCCAGACTCCCAGGATTCTTCAACATCCTCGAGCTTCTTTCAACTTCAACTGCAGAGGAAGAAAATAAATATTCTCTAACGTACATACCACGTTTCGTTAATTTAGTTAGGATCGTAAAGATTCTTGAGTATGCAAACGAGTTTCAACCGAAAGACACTGGACAACGTTTCGTTAGATTTCAATAACAGGATCGAACGTTCAAAGCAACAACTTTCAATGAACAATATTCTCTTTCACGCGATTTGGCACCGATCAGTAGCGTTCTCTCCCTCCCTGAATCCTTCCTAGATGTTCAAAACACTGGTTGTTCTTTGATTCGCTGAGAGTCTGGCTTCTTCAATCGTACAGTGTGAAAGACAGCCGGTGTGTGTACTATTTGCGTGGTCGGCGATCGTCGCCCTTGTCCCTCGATCGAGAAATACCGTATAAAAATCTTTTTATCTCTCCAAAATGTTCCAGCGACATCGTTGAAGTGGACGAAACAGGTGGTCACAAAATACATTCCCCAAAAGAAAAAGATTCCTTTTCCTTTTCATCTTTCCCATTTTCTTTTTTTTTTCTTTTTTAATTATGTTAAAATTTGTTCATTTTTAGAAGGAATCGGTGGATCGAGAGACAAGGCGCGTACGGGGAAGTTTTTATCGCCAGAAAAAACAAAATCGCTCTCCAGTAGCGCACTCGATAAAATTTCATCGTCGTTCGTAACACGTTCAGTATTAACAACACCATATTTTTTCGGCAAATGTACATTTAAATTACACGCATAATCTTACAGAATTGGAATATCAAATTTCTTTTTATTTTTTTTTTAAATCTTTTCTCCTTCTCGTGTTGGGCGTGGAAAAAACAGTGGCCTCTGAATTGTCAGCGTGTTTTGCTAAAAAGGGAGGGAGCTGAGATTTATAATAATCTGTCAAACTTAATCGGGACTCGTGAAGTATGAAACCGAAAGGATTTTGCTCTATATGTTAATTATCCCTTCTCACCCTTTAAGTACAGGCATACCTCGTTTCTGATAGCAAACTGATGGTAATTATTGCAACATTTCAAAATTCATTCGATTCGATTTCTAATGAATCCTTGAGATATCCCTGTAATTGCTCTTCGATTTCCTTCCGGTTCCACGCTCGCGATGGTACACATTTTTTTTCTCTTTTTCATTGTTAACAGTATGCACACACACATCTCGCTTTCTTCTCTTTCTCCTAATCTTTCTCACTTTGTACGTCTTTCGATAAAATGTCGCGTTTGTCATGGCGCGATTCGATTAAATGTTTCTTATCCTTTACCCCCATCTCTCACACTTTTCCGTACCACCTTCATCCTTTGCTCTCTCACTTTGTCACTCGTTTACGTTATCTCTCATCCATTCCCTGCCTCTTTCCGTGCCTAAAAATAATCCGAACGCTTTGGGACACGAGTGAAACGCGTGGAACATCGTTGACTTATCTCGAAGACGATGAAAAATCACTCGAATAATTAATCAAAGAACAGGAAGAAATGTTTAATCTCCGATAATGCGAGGTAGCAAATTCGAAGATTGAATTTGAAAATCTTTGACACGTTCACTGCTACGGTAGAAATAGTTACGTATAATCAGACATAGGACTAATTAGTATCAACTAATGCCTCGCTACGTCCATTTCTTTTATGTAGTATATATTACACGATGTAACATAAAAATAATAATACGAAGAATTCTCCATCGAGATCTAGTCACGTTGTATCCAGCGAATCGAAGTAATTTCAAACGTGTTAATTGTTTCGTCAAACAGGTGGATTAATGAATAAAAATATGTGTGGGATCGCTTCTAACGCGTACACGCGACTCACAAACGCGTCCATCGATCTGATTGCGAACGGCGCAGGAATAGAAAAGAAAGAAAAATACTTGTTGCGCGTCGTGCTATACTTGGGTGATCACTTCCGGCTTGAAGCTACACGTGGGTTGCGTTCTAAACTAAATAAATGCCTGTGTTGCAATCGATCGATCTATCGGACCGACTACGAAAGAAACGTTAACACAATAATAATATACCTAAGAACTATGCTGTGTAACAATAATATAATCCTCGGCTGAGAAAGAAAAGCTGACTTCCGGAAAGGACGTCGTTGTACGATCGGCCGAGGTAAATGAAAGAAGATTACTTACGTTACCGAAGGATAATATGCAGAAGACGTTCAACGAAAACTATACTCTATCCAACGAGATGAAACAGTATAAATGCATAAAAATTCACGTGCTCGAAGCAGGCTCGGCTCACAGTAGTTCGGCCCTGCGTTGAGCCCACGAATTTGTGAACATATCCCTGACTCGTCTCGTTAGACGGATTATAGACGGTGCAAAGACGAGCCGCGAGTAATTAGAAATAAAATTTGAAATTCTTTATTTGATTTTCTACGATAACCACTCGGAGCGTTTTTTATTTAATAACGATTCGTATCGATCACAAAAAAATTATCACCACTTCGCGCGCATCCCCTTCTGATTATCCACGCGTTTCCACGAATTTCCCGTGCGATCGATGCTCGAAATCCTCCTTCGTTAATTAGGTAAGATCGTTGGCGAATGAAAGTATCGGACCACGAAAGCTGCGAACGCGAAATTTCTGCTGATCTTCCCGAGGGGACGTAAGGGAAATCGCTGGGTGCACGGATAGCGGAGATCGTCAGAAGGAGGGATGAAATTAAAAATGGACTAACGAGCGAGCCGTTGTGCTCGGTGAAACGTTAACGAGCAGACGCCGTAAAGAATAAAAGCTCGAACGCGTTTCTGATCCACGGTCCACGCAGCTCAGCGATTCACAATTGCGACTACTGAAAGAACATCGACCTGAACATGTGTGTAACGTATGCGTGTAACCCGCTGTCCCTGCATGCTGTGTGTATTCACATGTGTAAATATGTCGCCGACGTTGGAAAACTGCATCGAAAGATCGCGCGACCATTTTCTTTCCCGCGTGCACGGTGTTCCTCTTCAGAAATTTCAGACGGCTCGTTAAATTTCAACTTTCGAAATTCAATTTTATTGTCACGTCAAATCAACACGCGGAAAAATTTGTGTTTCTATTGTGAGATAAGAAGAAAGATCACTGTGCACACTTTCTTCTATTATCTTCGCACGATCGTTCGATGCGTTCGTCTCTATCTCTATCTCTCGTTACAATGTAAAACTTGTACCGTAAGTTTAATCACTAATTGGATATTAAGAAAGAGCTCTTTAAACCTCTATTAAAGAAACTCAAAAGGAGCCCTGTGTTCGCGTACATCAGGGCCGCACACCTTTACAATATGCGTTTGTATTCTGTGTTTACCGTAAATATGTTCGTTTATGTAATATATAATATTACCTATAGTTGTCTAGCACAGCTGTAAAGAGAACCTTACCACGCTAAAAGACAAAAAAAACCGATTCCTTAAACACGTAGATTCATATATATATAATATTTCATATTTATTCTCATATATATATAATATATATATAATATACTTCATCTTCTTAGATTATTTCAAACCGTGTGAAAAGAACGCCTCGAAGAACAACCGATATATAAATTGCAGGATAAAATTTCTTTTCTCTCCCCTTTTATTCCCTCTGTCGAGCATCCACAAATACGGACACGGTATCCTATCACTAGAACGTTTCCCGTCCCGCTCGACGATACGCTTTCTCGCTTCTTTCTTTTCCCTCTCAAACTATGCTCCTTTTTTCTTTCTTCCGATTCGAAAAGAAAGACGCCTTTCTTTCCAGCCTTTTCGAATGGTCGAAGACGACGGTGGATCGTGTGGAAAAGAAAAGAAGGAAAATTCATAGCGACCAACGAGACGAGTTTAGAGGCCCGAGTCTCTAAAATACATATTCAACGAAATTCAAGGATATCTTCTTTGGGCGTCGATTTTCGACAATCGACGTACGAAATAAAGGAAGTTTTTCTCTTAACTATAAACCTGAAAAACACCGTTCGTTTCTATATAAACTTACTATTTATCGATGATTTCAAACCTCTCTCCCTTCGCTTACTCCTTTCACCGCCTCCTCTCTTCCATCATAATGACTATATGCTAAACTCTATTCATAGTTCAACCATTCATAACCTTTCTCTGTAATTCCATCTCTCCTTTCTCAAGAACCCCCCTTTTTTTCTTTCTTTTCTTACGCGTTTGTTTCATTTTTTGTTAATTTTATCCCTTAGACCCTCCCCTTTTTGTGTACAAGTTTCCCACCCCGTCTAACCAACTTTTACAACCCTTAGTCCCATCCCCCCCTCAACGTGCCATATAGATGTGCTATTCGATTAATTAATTATTATTAGAATATTCACGGACACGATATATTACGACAAAACGATACGATACACGCACGCGTGGAGCGCGTGAACGCCCGCGATACTCGTCCAACTTTTTTTTATCTTTTTACTTTTTTATCGATCAACCCTTCGGGGGGATGGTTCATCGCGGACGAGTCGCGTTCACGGACCCCCGGTTTCTCTCGTTTATAAAAACACTGACATAGAAAACCGTTCGCTCGATCGAGGTGGCAATATACGTTTTCACACGGGTCGCGAGGAATTCATTCGCCGCGCGAGTTTCAAAATTTTCTCGAAAATCCCTTCCGTCCGCGCGATCGAATTCTCTTCCCCGGGGGTTTCGTGGATCGAGGTAGATGCTTGCTTTCAACCGGAGAAAAGAAAAGAAATCGTCGTCGCTTCGTCGAGAACGCGTATCCTTCGTTCTTGATCCTCGCGACCCGTCCATTAGAAAGCTTCGCTCGACCAGGATTAGGCGATAAAGTAGAAAATCGTTATACAGCGACTTTAACTCGGAATTGAAAAAAGGTTTAGCCTAACTTTAATGCTGTTTAGCCTTAGCAACTACCAGAGCGAGTGCGTCGTGTGCGTCGACGTACCGTCCAGAGATAATCAACCCTTTTTCCTAGGAAATATTTTACACAAGAAAAGTTATATGTAAGTAAAAAGAAAAAAGTATAAATCTTATAAAAATTTTGACCGACAAAGATACATACAATTTTCCGTGCTTTTCGATATCAATTTCGAGTAAATTTCTTTCAATAACGATTCCCGATATATCGGTACGTCGACGCGTCGAAACTTACTAAATTCTTTTTTATTAGAAATCGAATCAGGTGCCCGAAAAATCACGCTCGTTCGCGTCGATCGATCGAACGAGCGTGCGATCGCGGACCGATTTTCACGCGAGAGGAACTCCGCAAGATCGTTTTTCCTTGGTTCCAAGCGTCGATCGAGTCGCGATAGGAACTGAAATGAGCCGATGAATGTCTAAATATATCGCGCGGCACCTATAATACGTTCAACAACGCGAAGAACCACGTAGCGAAAATTGAAAACGGTAGGGAGTACAAAAGTTTCATTTTAGATACGCGCCCGAAACCACGGCTTAGTTAGCTTCGAACACCCGCGCGACAAAACGTCAGATCCTCTTTTGTCGAGGCACCCCAGGGTCGCTCGCGATACGAAAAGTTGTCGCGAGACGACACCCGGGATCGTCCTCCCACGCGAGCTTCTTCGTTGAAAACTGAACGGGAACGAATCGCACGCGGTATACGCGTGCATCCAATCACCGGGCCAGCGAAAAAACGAATTGAAAAGTTTCTCAGGTAGCGAAAAACCGAGCACGAAAATTGTTTTGCGTTCCTTTTCCATCCTTTTTTTTTCTTCCCTGTGTCTAGATGTTGTATTCTTAGATGAAAAGCGAGGAGAAGCTAAGAAAAATACAGTGGAAATATCGTGTTTTCTTTTTCTTTTCGCCACTTTCATTCTATCTGATATTTGGCACTCTGAGAAAAACGTAACGAGAGACGATTCTTTTATGTCCCGGCTCTCTCTTGTCCCTGCTGGCTGCGACACGAGAAAGAAAACGACAAAGGAAACAATGAAACTAAACACGAGAAACGCGGTTTCGTCACGTAGCATTAATCGAACGGTGATAAACGCACTCTTCAGCTCGTCGCGTTTTTTTTTTTTCTTTTGGCTATTCAAATTAAAGGGTTCCACGCGAACACGTGGTATACCTTTTGCGAATATTCCTCTTCTTTTGTTTTTCATCTCTCCGTGTGTCTCTCTCGCTCTTCCTCGCACTCGAACAGCTTTTTACCATTTGTGCTCCATATCTCTCTCTCTCTCTCTCAATGGACTCGCGCTAATTCTCACTCTCTGTCAATCAATCAATATTAGTATCTCATTGATTAAACTATACACAGGGTGTTGGAAAAAAAATTGTAATCAAACTTCAAGTGTATCTTCTCGTCAAAATAAAAAATTATTATATTCATCTTTAAAGTACTTTATCCGTAAAGAATTAATAAATATGAAAATCAATTAACGTATCTAACGAGTTTCATCATTAACTTTTTTAACACCCTGCATATTGTGCTCGGTTTGTCGAATCCCTTCACCGTGTACTCCCTCGAACGTTCTACAAAAGATGAAGAAAAAGAAAATCACATATTTTCATTCACACATTTTTACCTAAAGAGAATTCGCCGATCAGAATCGTTCGAGAGAATCGGATCGATGCTAAAATACTACGGGATAATATACAAAATCTCCTAGATATACTTCCCGGTGTATAAATGGATTAAGTATACTCTTTTCCTTGCTTGCATTTTTTTTTTCCTTTTTGTTAATTCGAAGTAACGTAAAGAAGGTACACGATCGACTATACTACCTTGGGAAAAAACGGTGGGCGGTCTGTTTGTGGGACGGCCGCTATTGATGGACAGCAACGACCAGCATCGCCAGAAAAAAACGAAGATTTTTCCTTTTTCCTTTCGCTCTTCCATTCTCCCGTCTCTCATACACGCCCCTCTAATTGCCTCACTCTCACACTAGCAACCTCTCGAATTTCTTATTCATTCATTCTCACCTGTCTCGTTCTTAATTACGTATTTACACTGGCTACCTCGGGCGCCCGCGGCTTTCGATCGCGCTTCGAACGCTTTGGAAAGGAACACCTGTAAAAATGAAGAAAAAAAAAAAGAGAGAAATTAAAATTTCAACGTTTATGTAATTGGCTTTGTGATACCGTTTCCAATGTACCTAGGAGAAGGGACCGAGGGTTAAAAAGGGTTTTCTCGAAGGGTGGAAAATCGTCGGGCGCCCGGCCGATCAACGTGAAACCCATCGAATGAGTCGTAGATCCTTAAACAAAATCAACATGGCCGCCGTAAACGTATAAACTAATAAAATGTAAAAAAAACAACGTTCTCGATTATCTAAGTAACAAACGATAGTTCATAATATCTCTTCCCCCCCATTGTTCTTTCAAAAGTGGCTTTTTTTCATGATCTTTTTTTCATTTTTTCACGTTTTCTTATGCATACCTACTTTGTTAATATAAAAAAGGGAAGTCTGACCTTTTTTTTTTGTTTATTTCTTATCGATTTCCGCGTCCTAACGTCGTTATATATTTTATAATATACGCTCTCGTCGTTTTACCTTTTGTCTCCGCAATCCATTCTTTTCCACCCTTGAACGCAACACGATTTATGGGAACGCCAGGGACGATACATACTTTTCTTATCTCGTGAAGAATTCGTTCGATTCGATCTTGGGAAGAGCGACGGCGAGTCGACGACGCGATCGCGAGTGATTTTCTCCAATTTAAAGCTAATTGTTCGAATTTCCTTACTAGCTAAAACACGACGATAAAAAAGAAAGGCGCAGCACGATATATAACACGATATATTTTCAGAGTTAAATTATAATTTACAAGCACCTATCCTAATATTTCCTAAACGATTCTTTCATCTCTTTCTGACTCGTATTTTAAATTCTACTACTCGTTCGGGCCAATGGACACGAAAGAAAAAAAAAAGAAAAAAAAATCAAACGAGAACAAATTCACGTTCTTTTTGTTGAATAGGACAATTTCTATGCATGAATTTTCGCTAACATAAATGTCGAATTAACACAAAAAAACGCTGTTCCAAAAATCTCGTTCTTTTTTTTTCCATTCTTACCAATAATACTGACGATAATCCTTAACCTGACTGTGGATGAATTTCAACTCCATCGAATCGATAACAGGCGTCGATATACGTCGTCGAGAGCCGTCGATTTCCAGGTGGATCGATCGAACGAAACGACGAGATTGTCATCGTCCCTCGCGTTGAATGAACGTAGATGAAAACCCTACTGTCGTACACAGTAAAAAGAAAAAGCTTAACGTTATCGCTGCTACAAAATTTCACCCGGTACCTGACATTCTTCCGGTTTTCCATCCGCTCCCAGGGTATCCTCTTCATCGATCATTCGATAGGTAAATCGATAACAAAGCAACTTAAAAATACGCTTCTCTTCGATGATTTCTAATTAATCAAGAACAAATACCAGAGACATTTCGATTTCAAATTGCAAACTTAAACTTTCAAATCGAAATGCTCCATACGATCTCTAAATAAATGAAAAAGAAAAGAAACAAAAAAAAGAAAAGAAAAATATGAAATTGATTCGTCACGAAAACGAAAAAATAAATATACCCTTTGTGCTGGGACACGAAGGAAACACGACCAGAGCAAAGTGTCAGGTCCTCGAGGCATTTTCACGCTTTTCTTCTTCCAATTCTTCGTTTCACCGACGATGATGTTGCATTAATGATTGAAAATGATCGACGAGTGGTGTTGGAGGATCTAGAGCAAGGTCGCCCGCAGCAGAGAGATCAGTGGGTCGAAGAAGTGGGGACACGGGTCAGCCGCGGTGCTTGGACGCCTGTTAGCTAAGTTCCCTAATGGTTACGGCCACTGGCTGTAAAGCTGAAACTGCTCGCGGGTGAAGCAGATCGAGAGCGGTTTCACGAAGTGGGCGTCCACGGCCCTGCAATGGGGGCAGGCGAATACGCGGCTGTAGTCCGAGTAGAAATTCAGCCGTTGGTGTGGATAGATCAGAGGCTTCTGGCAGCTGTTGCACTGTAACAAACGGCGACGTTTTCAACGTTAGACGGGGACGCGCCCGCTTAGAAATCCTCGAATCTCCGTAGAAAGTACCCGAGTACCGGTACTCGCGTGCACCAATGTATCGGGTATCGATGCTATTACCTGGCAACAGCTCGAGTACCGGTACTCGGGCGCGATAACACCTTCGTGTTGAAAAGAAATCATTCAGCGGTTGCTAATTTACCTGTCTCGCGTGAGAGATACGAAGCGTACGAAGTACACGGACGCTAATGTGGTTACCGTTAACCAAATCTCACCGATGCGATGGAAGAGAATAAAGAGCGAGGAAATTCAAGACTCACCTTGAGTCGCTCGGTGCAACAAGGCATGGCAGCAAAGATATCGTAGCTGTACATCGTTCCAAGGACTAAGCTAGACCCGTCCCATGGCTGAGTACAGCAACGACAACGAACAGGCTGACCACCGCTACCTTCCAGGCAACCCATGCACACCGCCGACAAGAATTGCGTGCGACCTTCGACCTTCACCTGGAACAACGATCGTCGGAACATCGGTTTAGATTTATCGTCAAGTTCACGGTCACTGGCTGCGCTTCTTGTTCCCTTTATCGTCCCAACCTGCACACGACTTTGACAAATTTATACAACAACAAATAAGTACTGGCAATTTTTTAAAATAGTAATAAAATATGATCCTTTTACAAATTTTTCACAAATTAAAAATTTTGTATACACGTCAAGTAACCGAACACGTCAGCTTGATGTACACCTACAGATTACTCAAAGATTGAAATTACCTCTGCGCAGGCAGGTGAATGTTGCCTCGGCGACAGGAAGAACGTGCCATCCACTAGGGGATACCTGTCGAAAACGAGCATAGGTGAACGACAGAGGACGCAGGACACTCGGGACCATTGCAGTGCCGCCAACGTCGACAGGATGAAGCATCTTGTGTCATCATTGCCGTGATTTCCCTCGTCTTCCATCTGTAACAAAAAGAACAATACCGAGATTAGTAGAGTGATAAAGCGATAATCGTGAAAAATTCTTTTCCTCCGTTTCACTTGAATTCAAGGATCAATAGTTTAAACGCGGAATTGGCCATCAAACAAGTCGTGCGAGCGACCGATAGGGCATCGGCAAACGTCACGAAAAATCCGAATGGTATAAAAGGATGCCTTCGTAGGTGATAAAACGATAAAAGTTACGAGCTAGGTAAGTCAGAGGGTTGGTCCACCGGAGTCTGCAGGAAATATATGCTAAAGGACGCTGCAAGAAGACAAGGTTCGATAGGAAAAAGAAAGCAGCAGCAGGGAGAAACGCTGGAAATGTCACGTCCTTAATGACGAAGGAAGGAGAAAGGAAAGAAAGGAGCCAAGCTATGCAGACAGGAAATGAGAAGAATAGGGGGTTGGCGCGGGGTAGAGCACGCCGGATGGTGACTGAATAACGAAGAGGCGCTGTAGACAGAGGTTAAGGTCGAACTACTACAAGGTGAATGGTACAGGATCTTCGTTTTTCAATCGTCGATTACAAAGAATAAAAGGAAAATCAGTTAGAAAAAAGAACGAGAGCTTTTTGCTTTCAGCTCTTTTGTTTGAAAAGCAAACCATTGTCCGTTTCTAGATTATTCTGAAGATATTACAGAGTTTCATCTGGAAGATTACAGAGTTCCTTGGTGAGTACCTAGCAGAAAGGCGACAACGAAGGACGTTGAATCTCCTACGACGTCCTTTGCCCTATCCCTTATTATATCCCAAGATCCTTATCCCCGAAAATTTGATTCCCATGAGCCTCGATTACAGCTCCTTAGAAATTCCTGCAGCGAAACCAGCCTCCCTTCGTCCTTTCGATCCACCCGATTAAAAATCTATTCGCACGCTCTCGGGTTCAATGTATTTTTGATCGCGCTCAGCCTTCGAGGTGTATCACCCTTTGCCACCGACTAGGATGACTGGCACCGTGTCAAGGCCAAGAATGAAGGATCTCCAGACGGCCATAGCAAGTTCTCGTCGAGTGGCTATGGAATATCCGTTCGAGATAGGACGAAACGAGCAGATACAGACGTCGAAGGATGAAGAAGGAAAAGAAGAAGCTTTACGAAGAGAAAGAAAAAGGTTCCTTTGGAAGGATCCTCGTGGAGGATCGAGGAGAACCACACACGTCCATCCATCTACCCATTCATCGAAGCATGGACAGGGAGAAAGAGAAAGACGGGCCATGTTCCAACGGGCCGAATAAATAAATTGGATTGGTCTGGCAACTTTTCCAGCCGTTCCCGTTGCAACTGGAAACCGATCGTAGGTCGATCCGTGGCAGAAGCACTTCAACTTTTTCACGGAGTTCGATTAGAGGTCCGAGGAGAAGAAGAAGCATTGTGCCTCTGCTACTTCTTTTTTTATTGCCCTCCCTTTCGAATTCGTCAGACCGAGGGGGCTCGGAAAATACTGCCTCTTCTACCTCTCTCTCTCCGACCAGAGAGACAATTTCCTGAGATACGTAATTAATGTCCCTTGGTCCGGGTTTTAATCGAGCCGCTCTTCTGCTTCTCCTATGGTTCCGGCGAAGAAGGGAAAAACTGACGGTTCCGAGCGAACGAACGATGCCCGAAATTGCGCGAAACGAGAGGGTGAAAGAGCATCGTTCTCCGGCGCGAAGTGAAACGCGACGTTTAATCACGATCCTTCTGATTTCTCGTTCGTGACAAGGTGAACGATGATGATAGATCCTGAAAGGAATAAAGAACAGCTACGGTAGAGCGGTGGTAATTCCTCGGGATGTTAAAGAACGTTTCTGTAACTGATTTTCCATCTTCAATTTCGTTTCGAGGTCAACGATCAATCAGGAAGGTCGCTGCCCTTGCGGACAATTTTCCTCGCCACGGTTAAACGGCTAAGGGCGGGGGAGAAAAAAGGGTGAAGAAAAGCACGGAGGGTATAAATCGTGGCGTATCGCCGAGGAAGATGGGAGGGAGTTGGGAAACACCAAGAGGATTACGATGCCGGCGCCGCGGATTATCGGAATTCAATAATACCGTCCGGTACAAATAAATATAAAAATCAGCCCCGCGGTGGCAGGCACGCGCGGGCTTCTCGACGACCCAAAATAATAAAGACGAGGAAACGAGCGGAAAGGAAGCCGAGGAAGGAAAAAAAAAAGGTCGACGAACTCGTAAACGGCGTTAGCTTTCGAGCTTTTCTGTAAACTTTATAACGCAGTAAAGAAGGGAGCACAGTGAACTCGATAAAGAACGATATTCACTCGGAACGTTTCCAAGGAAATCCTCGTGGAAGGTGTTCGACAAAAGCTGGACGCGACGGGAATCCAGAAACGATTCCAGCTGGAGAACCGCGCGAATCGTACGGGAACTCCCGATGAATTTCACATGACAGTCGATGAGTAGAAATAAAATTGCTCTTTCCACGAAGAAAGGGAAAAGGAGGCGATGTATTATTGAAAATACCGAGTGGGTGGTTTTTACGCTCTCGCGCGGAGAACGGGGGCAGTGGCAATTTCGAAAAGGGAAGAAACGGAGGAAAAACGTTGGAAAGTAAAACGGTACCCACCCGGGGATTTGTCAAGACTCTCCTGCAAGGACGCTCTTATTTAGACCTTAACGGCTCCGTCGAGCGGCCATAGGTCCCGGGACGATAAAGCTCGGTTATATAGACGGGCGTAAAATTCCTTACGATCTGGCCTCGGTTCGCTTCCGTTTTCGTGCCCCCCTTCCATCGAGGACAGGGGGGGCTTTATAACCGTCGCGAAGGGCACGGGCAAAATTCGGCCCTTCTTAATTTCCCGCATATAAGAATATATCTGTATATTCTGTAAATGGTCTCTCTGTTACTTTTGAAAGGAACACAATAGACAGGGGTTCGTTTGGATCAAGGATTGTAGTCAGACTTTAGGTCCTACAGGATGATTCTTTGCCCTTAATCCTGCGTAATAATGCTCCGTAGATTCTCTTCCCCTAATCCTGACGTCACGATCAATGCGAAAGTAATTTGTTACTTTCTCTGATGAAGTCTCCAGGAACTGACAACTGGAAGAACTCCACAGGTTTCCAAGTACTAATTGATGTCATTTTCATTTACTCTTTCCTATCTTCGGTATCATTTTGAAAAATCATTTTTCTATCACAATCTCGACACGTCTGCTCATTCCCAAAGGCTACAAGGATACCATCCACGGCGAAGAAGTTCGCAACAGCTCGTTCCCCAAGTCCCATCAAAGTTTCGGGCAACAGCCGATAACTGCCGGGAGACAGGGACATAAAGAGACAGAAAGTGAGTCGCAAAACCTCTCCTCGCCAGCAGGCGAGAGATCGCGAAGAATCTTTGTTAAGAGGTTGTCCACTTCCAGCGAGAAAAATCTCTCGAAACTACTCTCGCTGTTTCGCCTAAAAACTTCATTTCACCCAGTCGGCCAATTTAGCAGCGACTACCGGGGGTGACACCTCGACGTCCTCATAAATACAGGAACGAACGAGTGGGTGGGTCGTTGCGCGAGTACTTAACGCGAATACCAAAGAGTCTCTGGCCGAAGAAGACAGGAAGAAGCGCGCTGGGTGTTGTGCTAGCTGGATTTACGAGCTATCAGGACAAAGGATGCACGCGAAGGATCGCTGGCGCGTGTCCCGTCGAACGGAAAAAGGAACTCCTGCTTGTCTTCTTCCTTTTTTTATCGCCTTTGTGTCGAAAAGTTTCTTCTTCGTTTTATCCGAGGGGAAAGAATCTACTCGTCCGTTTTGTATCGCTCTCCCGACGCGACTGACCCACTGGTCCTGTTCGATGGAAAGCAGAAAAAAGCCTCTTTTACCCTGTCGTTGTGCTCGTTCGAGCGCGAAAATAATCGATGCTGATCCTCGAAGGATCCAAGGCACGTCCCTCGTTTCGAGGAAACTTGATGGCGTTCGTTCACGATCGACTTGAGACCGTGGCGCGCGATTATTGGAAGCGGACTGTCCCGGTCTGAAGCTTTCAATCGAATCGCACGCTCCGACTTGGCAGTGGAACGACTCTATTTTCAATTCTGACTTGAAATACTTTTGTCCATAGTAATAACTATTAAGGGGGCGGAGATCACACTGTCATCGATACCGAGAGGATTTCTTCCAATTCAATTTCCACGATATTAATTAATATTGTATTATCCGGAGAACCCTCGTGGAACGTTTAGCCCCTCGATTTCGACTCGAACGCAGACAATAAGATGGTTCCTCGTCAAATTTCGACCCTCGACTCTTTGCTTCACCCCCAAGGGAATCCTGGCGACTGCCTTTCTCCTTCCTGATGCAAGTGACCCACTGTCGTTCAAAGGCAAAGACGAATTCGAACAAAGAAACCCTCTTTACGGTGCTCCTCCTCGCGTGAAAATAATCGATGGCGTTTCCACGAGGAAGCTTTCCTCTCTGTCTCTCTGTTCCATCTTCCCGAGTTTCCTCTGTGTCCTCTCCCCTTTCGAATCAGGGAGATGCCGATGTGTGTATGGGGAAACAGAAGGGGACGCGGACAGATATCGGACGAACGGAACACAGCCGACGGGACTTCTTCTCCGAGTGAAATTGCGGCCCCTAATATTATTGACAACTGATACACGTGAAAGGGAGACAGGAAGCGTTCTGTTGCCGGTCGAATTTTATCGGGCACCAGGGTGCCGGGGGGGAAAAACTATTTTCCTCGCGCGATAACGCGACGCATCCATTCTGGCTGAAGGAATTTTAAACGGGGAGAGAAACGGGGGCTCTTTGTTGTTCGATGAAATTCAATTCCGACGAGGTGGCACTTGATGGACGTCAGTGTTTCGCATAATAGGGAAGCTCGGAGAGGAGACTCTGGAATTCCCTCTCGAATTTCGGGGATCAGATCCGAAGAAGGCAAATATACTTCTTCCCTAAAGAATTTAGATGAGATATCCAGTCTGGTTAAATTTATATGAAAACTCAGTCGCAGATAAGGAAGTTTGATAAAAGAAGAAATTCGGGATA